TCTACAAGGAGAAACTACTATAACGGACATTTGATAAGTGTTCTGGACTTTTATCTCATTTATCTTAAACAATCTTATCTTATATTTTATATTTTATATATCCGTTATATTTTATATATTATATACTATTTATTCATTTAGGCGCACCCTTACCTTTCTTTTTGTCTTTTAATATGACATTGACTAACATTCCATTGCTGAAAGAGTTAATGTGAGACTTGCTAGAATGAGTAGACTTGCTAGAAAGGGTTAAAGTGCACTTTCCCATGGTATTACTCTCCGTGAACCTAAGGGTAGCAAGGTTATGCCATCATCCTAGTTCCTGTTAATGTGAGACTTGCTAGAATGTGAGACTTGCTAGAAAGGGTTATGCCATCATCCTAGTTCCTGCAGTTACCTAGGGGTAGCAGGCCAGACATGCACATACAGAGCCAGTGGCGTACACACAACCCATGGGGCCCCGGTGCGATAACTGATCCGTGGCCTCCCCCCCGCGCTTACTCTGTGCGGGCTGGGGCCGCAACACATGGCGGCGGGCACCTGGTCCCAGGGCTGCGACCCCTGTGACTGCAGTATGTACGCTTAAAGGACCACTTAAAGGACCACTACAGACACCCAGATCACATCAGCTCAATGAAGTGGTCTGGGTGCCAGGTCCCTCTAGTTTTAACCCTGCAAATGAAAACATAGTAGTTTCAGAGAAACTGCTTTGTTTCACTGAGGGTTAATCCAGCCTCTAGTGGCTGTCTCATTGACAGCCGCTAGAGGAGCTTCTGCGATTCTCACTGTGAAAATCACGCTTGCCACGCATGCGCATTCGGAGCCGAGAGGCGGATCGGGGCGGAGTAATCCCCAGCGCCAACGGAGTCCGGCGCTGGAGAAAGGTAATTGCTTAAGACACATGCACACTAGCTAAACAGAAACACACATTTACTGACAGACACACACTCAGTGACAGACATACACACACTCTAACATTAACACACACACTCTAACATACACACTAACACACACACATTTTTTTTAAATGTGATCCCCCCAGCCTCCTTACCTTTGGGAGTGCTGAGGGGATTCCCTGGGGTCCAGTGCTGTCACTGGGCGGGCAGGCTGGCACGCGAGGGAGCACTCTCCCTGGCTGAGTGCTTCCTGTTCAGCTCCCTGGCGCGCCCGCATACTGATACTGGAACCGGAAGATGACGTCATCTTCCGGCTCCGGTATCAGTGTGGTGCGCGAGGGAGCTGAAGAGGGAGCACACAGGGGAGAGTGCTCCCTCGCGCGCCCGCCAGCCTGCCCACCTGGTGATACCAGGGCCAGCCTTGGGGGGCCCTGAGGTGGCCGGCTCCTGGGCCCCCCAAGAGAAGAGGCTGGCCACAGTGGCGTACATACCGGGTCACAGGGTGGTCGGGCCCCCTGGTGGGCCGGGCCCGGTCGCAGCAGCGACCCTTGCGACCCCAGTATGTACGCCACTGGATTGCAAGTATTCTATGAGATTAACTAACATTTCATCCCTGAAGGGGTTAATGTGAGATGGCCTAGCATTTCAGCACTGAAAAGGTTAACGTACAACTCTACTTTCTGTGGATTTACTTGCTGTGACCCTAGGGGTAGCAAGCTTATGCCATCACCCTATTTCCTGCAGTACCAAATAGTAGCAGGCTGGTCAGGCACATACAGAGCATATATATGTATATAACCCCTTCTACCCTTTATCGGTTCATCTGAACGGTAAGTGTTTTCTGCTAATTTGAATTTCAATCAAAATAGGCTTCTGTGTCTTATTCCTAGGCATCTGTGTCTTACTTTAAGCCACTGGAGTCACTTATTCCTAGGCCTCTGTTGGGCATTTTTTAATATAGCAGCTGGATTAATTTATTCCTAGGCCTCTGTTGGGCCTGTTATTATAGCCTCCAGATTCACTTATTCCTAGGCCTCCTGTTAAGTCTTTTAATCCTGCTTTTTCACCTACATGTGGAGAGATAGCTTAGTGGGCTAATGTTTCATTAGATATTTTGTTCAACCTTTGGTGGTTGCAGGTTCAATTCTCAGGGTGACTCAGACCTTCATGCCTTTGAGGTACATAAAATGAGTACAATTAAATTGGGTAAAAGTAATCCCTGGGGTGCACTTGGAGCCAGAAAATATCAGAATATCACTTTTCTGTTTGTTATAACTTTTCCTAGTGCCTTTTAATACAGCTGTTGGGTTCACTTATTTTATGTGCCTTTTAATATGCATTTGCTGCTTTATTCACTTTTTCTAGGCCTCTGATTTTTATACCTGGTGATTTGTCTTGTGCATTCCCGGCTATCTGCCACTTTTATTACATTATTATATGCCTCTGTGTCTGGATCTATGTCACTGTACTTGGTAATAGGCTATTCGCTGTTCTGTTCTTCTATCTCTGCCTTTCGACCTGTTTTATTATAGGTCTCTAAGTTTCTCACTCGTGTTTATTCTAAAATGTAAGTCCAGTTGCGGTGGTTGTAGTGTTGTACTGGCTCCCCCTTTTAAGCACATTTTTTTCTTATATGTGTTTTCCTATATTAAGTAAGTAGATTTGTGCAGTTTTCATCTTCTTTTCAAGTCTCCTTTTTGGTTTTGGTAAGATTTTCTTTATTGAAGGTAAATTACACCTTTTTCTGTTTCTATCAATCTCTACTTGTTTAAGCAGGCATTTTCTTTGTTAAGGATAAAAAGGAATCTTACTAAGTTATGGATTCAGATCCCTCTGCTCCCAGAAAAAAAGGTCACACTCTAAGAGACATAGGTAAGCCATTCTATTGTTTCTGTTGTTATTAAACAGAGATTAAAAAGAGTGCCTATTAATAGTTGGAATTCCCTATGATGATAGCTCTACTGGAAGAAAATCATACAAGGGAAGTCACCCTAAAGGATCCTTTGTGAGGCATATGATAAGAGAGCCTTGTAAAAGTAAAGTCTCTGCACAGACTGTCTGAAAGTGGCTACAGGCCAATCTACCCCTGCGCCGTATATAATGCAATATTAAACAGGAGGTATCTCAAGACATCATAGAAGCTGTTAAAGCTCACATCCTCTGCACAATTCCCAGAATGAATACTCTGAGGAATCCTAGGAGATGGATACATTCAGAGATATGGAATCATCGGATAAGGATATTCAGCCTATTTCAGTAGTTCCTGAATCCGCTCACGTGGACCATTTCCACCGCTCACGTGGACCAGAGTCTGCAGGTCCTTATGCCTAAAATAATCTTATAAGATTGAGCCTTTTACCTCTAGCCTATCTTTTTCAGTAGGCATGTGCATGGGGAAAATATTCGTCTCGGTTCAGCATTCCGAAATTCGGGACTTCATCAATTCGGAACTTCGGATCTTAGATACTTCAGCAACTTCAGCACTTCGGGACTTTTCTTGGAGCCACTTGGTAGATAACTCCCTAATTCCCACGGTATTAGGGAGTTGTCTACCAAAAGGCTGAAAGACCTAAATTGGTCTTTCAGCCAAATTTACTAATACCAAGTAAAAATTACTTAGTATTAGTAAATTGTGCCCCTACTCGCTATACCGCGAGTAGGGGGTGGCTGCTCACTGTAAAAAAAAAAAGAAAAAAAAGGGTCCCCCCTCCCGAGCCCCCACCCCTGAGCGGCGGGTGGGGGCCCTAAAGTAAAAAAAGGGGGGGAGGACCTATTGTCCTCCGCACCGGCCCCCACCCGTGAGTGGCGGATGGGGGCCCTAAATAAAAATTGGGGGGTTGACCTAATGTCCTCCCCCCTGGCCCCCAACCCTGAGCGGTGGGTGGGGGCCCTAAATACAAATTGGGGGGGGACTTATTGTCCTCCCCCTGAACCAACCCCTGAGCGGTGGGTGGGGGAACTAAATACAAATTGGGGCCTCCCACCTAATATCCTCCCCCCTGGCCCCCACCCCTGAGCGGTGGGTGGGGGCCCTACACAAGAATAAGGGGGGGACCTAATGTCCTCCCCCCTGACCCCTACCCCTGAGCGGTGGGTGGGGGCCCTAAACAAGAATAAGGGGGGGGACCTATTGTCCCCACCCCTGAGCAGTGGGTGGGGGCCCTAAATACAAATTGGGGGGGGACCTAATGTCCTCCCCCCTGGTCCCCACCCCTGAGCGGTGGGTGGGGGCCCTAAACAAGAATAAGGGGGAACCTAATGTCCTCCCCCCTGGCCCTAAACGGTGGGTGGGGGCCCTAAATGCAAATTTTCCCCAAACCCCTAGTCACCCCCTCCCCCAAAAAATAAACCCCTACCTACCCCCCTCACTCTAAAAATAATTAGGGGGACCTTTAACTAAGTACCTGTAAAAATAAACATAAACTTACCATTTGATGTTTTCTTTCTTCTAAAATCTTCTTTTTTCAGCCCAAATAAAAAGCCATAATAACCGACGCAATTAAAAAAAAAAAAAAACACACGCAAAAATAAAAAAATCCATCTTCACCCATGGAGGGCTCCGTGCAGACTGAGCTCTGCAGGGCGGGGGAAGGCTTATAAAGCCGCCCTGCAATTAGGCTCAGAGCACTCTGATTGGTGGGTTAAAGCCATCCAATCAGAGTGCTCTGACAGGTAAATGAAGAGACTGTTGTGCCTAATCATTAAATTCATGAAGCACCAATATCCAAAAAGTAATAATCAATACCTAATAAGGTTTATAGTGATATTGGTGGGCACACAACCCAGTTCGGATACAGTACATTGAGTTATAGGAAAGAGAAATCACACAGAGACCAAGTTGAATATAAGAATTCACACTACACTTTACTTTATTATCCACAAAGGGATCTAAGCAAAGTAAGTTTTACTCTCATTTAAGTAGTTGCATGCATTTACTTCAAACAGCTTAGTATCTAGATATATCAGCTTATGTATACATCACCATTAGAGAAGCTTGGTTGTCTCCTTGCCACACATGACTGGGGGGAACTCAGGCAGTCACTCGGAGAGACCCTCTCTTCTGGGAACAGCAGAAACCAGTAACACGCGTCCGCATTACAGGTGGGTAGTTCTCCAAGGGAGCGCAAGATTCCCTTAGTCTTATATACCTGTCTTCAAGGACAGTCAGTAGTTCCTTATCAGTGCAGCCCAGCAAAAGACCTTGATACAAGCAGCTGGATGGACCTGGCAGTTGGCCAGACTGTTCAGGACCACCAGAACTTATGCCAAGTCTTGTGCGGTTAATTATCTCTTATCTACAAGCTTTCTTTGTACTGTTCTAGAGATGGCAACATAAGTTTTTGATGGCAACATAAGTTTCTCAAACTGCTGAAGTGCTGTGTCAGCTTATAGTGCTGTGTCAGCTTAGTAAACAGCTGTAGTGCTGTGTCAGCTCTTAATAGCTGTGGCATAAAGCCTTCAAGCCTGCATCTAGTAATTGTGGCCTTCAAGCCTGCATCTAGTAATATGTGCTATGTGTGCTTATATGCTTACCGGTGCCATCTTAACTATCTATAAATGTTTGAGTTGCTCAATAGTGATCAATCAATCATACTTAATTAATATGAAATATTATTATCACATTCCATCCCTTGATCACTCAGTGAGCAAAACCTCACACATTTACACATACCATTCAGGTTATCAGCAGGGGGAAAACCCATTTACCCACTGATTCCCATTATGCTCCATTCACACCTGGAACCGATTCAAGCCTAATTAAACTCTTCTAGCGCTACACTATGATTTATTTTTTAAGCTAACAAAGCTTTGAATGCAGAAAACTGTAATTTTGTAGCACAGATAAATACAAAGTATAATAAAAACACACCATGCAATACCTTTTATTATTTTCAACCCAAGCCCTCCTATCCAGGAGTAGTTTGTAGCATTAGCTAACCAGTGTATAAAAGTGTAGGCGCGCTTTGTGCTCTGCTGGTTTGCATAACTTACCCAATATTGGGTAAGTTCTTCTGATGAAATATTAGAGCTTACAGGTGCATATAGTATGCGGCAGCCAAAGGGCGTTGTAGATTCTAACGTTAACAAATCAAATGATTCATTTGGTAACTTAATATAGGTCATTGACTCAGTTTCATTGTGGCTAAAATAGCCTTCTCCATAGAGGTTCGCTCTCATGTTTGGACAGTTAACAGTCAGGCAGGTTACTCTTATTTCGATCTCTTTCCATCTCATCTCTGCGGAATCACTCTGGTCCCAACCTCCAATCTCGTTGTTGGTATCTGAGCCGACCAAAGGGTGTAGAGTAAGCACAGCCATCACAATAACAGCCGGACCAATGAGCTTTGCCTGTAAAGATACAACTCACTTTACTCTCTCAAATAACATTTGCCCGAAGGCACATATTCCCCTTTATCATGACCTGACTTGGAGAGTATTGTCATTGCCTGTTGCCCAATAATTGTCATTGCCCAATAATGTCTGCTGGTTCTGGGGGACCTTTCTCTGTCCTCACCCAGACTTTGGCCCCTGGATTTAGGTTAGTAGAGCCAAATCCCTTATCTCCTCTTACTGTTTGTAAGGTGGGGGCTGTTCCTTTGTGTACCTGTCCCTGGTAAATGGGGATGATAACCAATTGGGCTATTCTGTCCCCGTCTTGCACTAGCAAGTCTTGTGGTCCCTGATTTAACATAAGGACCTTTATTTCTCCTTGGTAATCAGTGTCTATGACCCCTCCCATTACATGTATCCCTTTAAGGGTGAGACTAGATCTGGGTGCAATTAGTCCAAAGTGGGGTATTTGTATTCCTATACCTGTGGGGAACATCTGAACTTGCCCTGTTTTAAGTCTTTCTTCCTTTCTGGCTCGCAAGTCTATTCCTGCAGCCTCTGGGGTAGCCCTGTATGATGCTAAGGCTCCCTCCTCTGTTTCCCAATATGTGATAGTGTTAGTTGCTACATATGGTTTAGCTTGTATATTGGGTGCAATCATTCTAGTGAGGGGGTGTCATGATCTGAGAGTGGCCTAATGTTTAGGATGTTCACAGCTGAAGGCAAGTTATCTCTCCATTTGACCATTTTCCCTTCACCAAGTTTTCTCAATTGTTGTAACCCATTCATCCTTTCAATCAGGCCAGCTGCTTGAGGATAATAAGGTATGTGAAATATCCATTCAATATTGTTTTCATTACAAAAATCTTGTACCAATTTTCCTTTAAAGTGACTTCGATTGTCAATCTGAATCTGTAATGGAAGACCATAGTATTGTATCATGGTTTCCAACATTTTAATAGTCTTTATTTTGGTAGCCCTCTTGCAAGGGTGAACCTATAAATAACCTGAATATGTATCCACAGCCATGCATACATATTCACAATTTTTACTCATAGGAAGCGGACCTATGTAATCCACCTGCCATATTTGCCCTGGTGCTTTTCCTCTTTTTTTTGACCTCGTACCATCCCTGGTACATGTCTATTCTGCTCATGCTGACACACTGGACATTGCAGAATTACTGTTTTAATTAAATCAAGTGGCACTAAAATGCCTCGCTGTTGTGCCCACCTGTGAGTGGCTTTCTCTCCCAAGTGTCCACATTTTTGATGGGCCCAAGTAGCCAATCCAAAAACTGAGTTAGAATTTTCAACGGACGCCTCTAAGATTTTGGCTTTCTCGTCTGCAACAGAGTTAAACAGACGATCCAATGAGTCAGTATTGCAGTGAGCATCAACATGAAAGAATGTTACCTCATTTTGATGTACCATCTCCCATATCTGCTCCCACAAATCTTTTCCCCAGACTTCTTTGGTATGAATCATGAACTGATGTGACTGCCATGTAGGCAACCACTGGCCAGTCCATTGGCAACAGACCAGGAATCTGTATATATATGACAACTTCCAGGCATCTCTTATTTCAAAGCCTGAAACACTGCATATAACTCTGCATGTGGATAAGTGCAAGATAATGCATCTTGGACGTAAAAACCCAAGGGCAGAGTACAGAATATTTGATAGAGTTCTAACCTCAACATGTGAGGAAAGGGATTTAGGGGTGATTATTTCTGATGACTTAAAGGTAGGCAGACAATGTAATAGAGCAGCAGGAAATGCTAGCAGAATGCTTGGTTGTATAGGGAGAGGTATTAGCAGTAGAAAGAGGGAAGTGCTCATGCCATTGTACAGAACACTGGTGAGACCTCACTTGGTGTATTGTACACAGTACTGGAGACCGTATCTTCAGAAGGATATTGATACCTTAGAGAGGGTTCAGAGAAGGGCTACTAAACTGGTTCATGGATTGCGGGATAAAACTTACCAAGAAAGGTTAAAGGATCTTAACATGTATAGCTTGGAGGAAAGACGAGACAGGGGGGATATGATAGAAACATTTAAATATATAAAGGGAATCAACACAGTAAAGGAGGAGACTATATTTAAAAGAAGAAAAACTACCACAACAAGAGGACATAGTCTTAAATTAGAGGGACAAAGGTTTAAAAATAATATCAGGAAGTATTACTTTACTGAGAGGGTAGTGGATGCATGGAATAGCCTTCCAGCTGAAGTGGTAGAGGTTAACACAGTAAAGGAGTTTAAGCATGCATGGGATAGGCATAAGGCTATCCTAACTATAAGATAAGGCTAGGGACTAATGAAAGTTTTTAGAAAATTGGGCAGACTAGATGGGCCGAATGGTTCTTATCTGCCGTCACATTCTATGTTTCTATGTTTCTATGTTTCTATGTTTCTATGCATCCTGGCTACTTTTTCCCGTTCCTGTCATAGTCAGTATTTTCTTGTTTTCTGGATTGTAAGACACTGCTTTCCATTGTCTTTCATTACCAATGTATTTTGCTGAACCATCAGTAAACCAAGCATGCTTTGCTTGATCTTGTGTTAGTTGCGCAAAAGACTTTCCCCACTTTAATGGAGATTCCCCTGGCTTATCTGCGTCTGGCAGATAACCAGGTTCTTGTATCGGCGCATCTGCACAGCCGTACCACTATTTCCTGTTTTAGCTCTATACTGTATGTACCACTTCCATTTTATGATACTGGACTCTTGTGCATGATCTATCCTATGTGTCTTAGGGGAACTAAGTACCCATTGCATGATAGCTATCTCTGGGCGTAAGAAATCTGTATGTCCTACCGTCATCTGTTCAGTATCCACCAAGGCCCAATAACAGGCCAAGAGCTGTCTCTCAAAGGGTGTGTACCTCTCTCCTGCCTCAGGTAACTTTCTTGTCCAGAAACCAAGGGGAACCTTAGTCCTTCCTTGTTTCTGCCAAAGGCTCCAAATAGCCCATTGCTGATTCACTGATACATTTAAGTCTATGTCTCCATCTTGTATGGGCCATAGATCAAGGGCTTGTTGGATAGCCTGTTTAGCTCCCTCAAATGCATTCTGTTGTTCTTCTCCCCATTCAAAATCATGTTTTTTCCTGGTTACTTTGTACAAAGGGGAGAGTAACTGACTCAAGTGTGGTATGTGTCGTCTCCAGAAACCAAAGAGACATATAAAGCTTTGAGCTTGTTTCTTGCTTTTGGGAGTTTGAAACTCTAGCACTTTTTGCTTAGCTTTTGGAAGGATTTCTCTATGTCCTTTGTTCCACTGTATTCCCAAGAATTGTACTGTTTGAGCGGGTCCCTGTATTTTACTGGGATTTATTTTCCCACCCTTTGCTCTTCATGTGCTCAATGATCTCTTCAATAATCTGCTGACACTGTTCTTCACTCTTTCCCTGAATCATAATGTCATCTATATAATGGGATATCTTCACCTCTGACAGTATTTTTACCCCATCAAGATGTTCTGCCACCAGCCGATGACAGATGGTGGGACTATGCAAGTATCCCTGTGGCAACCTGGTGAATGTGTATTGCCTCCCTAACCATGTGAAAGCAAACTGCTCTTGATTTTCTTCAGCTATTGTAATAGTGAAGAAGGCATTAGCCAAATCTATAACTGCATACCAGATCCCTGGATGCTTCTGTATATTTTCTATAAGAGTGATGGTGTCTGGGACAGCAGCCGTCAGTGGAGGTGTGTGTTTGTTCAACTCTCTGTAGTCTACCGTCATTCTCCATGTACGGTCTGTTTTACGTATTGGCCACACGGGATTGTAGTGCAGTAGTGACCCCTCGCAGGACCCCAGCTTTTAGTAGTTTCTTAGTTTCTCCAATTTCTTTGTGGCCTCCTGGGATCCTGTACTGCTTCATATGTACTACTTTAGCAGCGGGTGGTAGTTGCACTGGGGGCATTAACAATTTCCCTACCACCACTGGTCTGGCTGATATATAGGGTTTAGTCCCAAAACTGTAAAAGCCATGCCCCAAATATAAGGCCAATCCTTTAAGGATATCAATTCTAATTATATATTCGGGTATGGGGACAATTAAAAACTTCCTT